CAACAACAACAACCCTGTGCCTCCTGTGTGATTTACTATTCCTGGGATTGTGCAGCTTGATCAGGTACAGGGAGGAACTTTGCATCTGAGTTTATAGTAAGCAGGAGTTTGTACCTTGAGCTTTTCCCTTTTGCTGATGGGAGCACCGGTTTCAGATTAGAAGGCAGATTAGAAAGCTTTCTAATCAAGATAATGTGGAATTGCTCGAAAGAGACAAAACAAAGACCAAGGTCTAATTTTGCCTTTTAGAATGGAATCACACACACACACTCATACAGAGCAGGCATGGGCAAACTTCGGCCCTCCAGGTGTTTTGGACTTCAACTCTCACAATTCCTAACATCATCAAGCCCCTTCCTTTCCCCCCTCAGCCATTTCTGACACATTTCCAGGAAGGGAATGATCAATTGTAGATAATGGGCACAAATTGTCAGACATATTAAAATTAACTATGTATTTTTAATTACAAAAATATAAGTCAAGCACTGAAAAGGTTAAATGGATGCAATAACTCAGCAAAAACTGCAGTTCTATATAAGCAGGTGTGCCTGTAGGTGAGTAGCTGCCAGTCTGAGGTAAACCTCAGTGGGAGAAAGGGCTCAGTCTGTGAGAAGGCCTCACAGTGTGAGGTAGGCCTTAGTCTGTGAGAAGGCCTCACAATATGAGGTAGGCCTTAGTCTGTGAATGATATCGAGCAGGAATTTAGTGACTCTCGCCCTGGATGGTGAGAGCCCACAGACCCAACAAGGAGGATCCGCTACTTTGGTGAGCAAAAGAGAAGACACGCAATATGGAATTTCCCTGATTTCCCAAATAAATCTCACCAAAGTTGAAGAAAACGCCACCGAGTTGCTTTATTGCGATCCAGCTGGAAAGGATGCAATGCAGCGATATTTCATCAGGCAAGCATGCATTCAATACAAAGCCAATGGGATTTTGGCCTGCATCAATAGGAGCATAGTGTCTAGATCTAGGGAAGTAATGCTCCCCCTTGGTTAGACCACACCTGGGATATTGTGTCCAATTCTGGGCACCACAATTCAAGAGAGAGATTGACAAGCTGGAATGTGTCCAGAGGAGGGCGACTAAAATGATCAAGGGTCTGGAGAACAAGCTCTATTAGGAGTGGCTTAAGGAGCTGGGCATGTTTAGCCTGAAGAAGAGAAGGCTGAGAGGAGATATGATAGCCATATATAAATTTGTGAGAGGAAGCCACAGGGAGGAGGGAGCAAACTTGTTTTCTCCTTCCCTGGAGACTAGGACGCGAAACAATGGCTTCAAACTACAAGAGAGGAGATTCCATCTGAACATGAGGAAGAACTTCCTGACTGTGAGAGCCGTTCAACAGTGGAACTCTCTGCCCCGGAGTGTGGTGGAGGCTCCTTCTTTGGAAGCTTTTAAACGGAGGCTGGATGGCCATCTGTCAGGGGTGATTTGAATGCAATATTCCTGCTTCTTGGCAGGGGGTTGGACTGGATAGCCCATGAGGTCTCTTCCAACTCTTTGATTCTATGATTCAAAGCTGTGCCATTTTATAGAAAATACAGAGCTATAGATTTCAAATTCCCCGCCGCCCACCCATCAGCCGACTTGGTGCTGATTGGCTGGTGCGCTTAACATCTGGGAGGTGGCTTGGTTACCTCTAGCACGCTTCAGCCAATCAGCGAGGCGCTGTCGCCTCACCTTGGTCCTGGCCAATCAGGCGAAGGAGAGGTGAGACAAGAGAAGACAAGGAAAGGATGAATGGATTAATGTCCCAATTGTTCTTGGATCCAGATTTTTCCTGCGACTGGCCTTGGAAACAATAATTGTGATCTATGTGGCAGTTTCGGTGTGGAAGTAAAGGATGAAGCAACCGGGGGCTTGTTTGTCCCTTGTGTCTTGATGGGATTAACCAGACAGATGTATGTCCCAAGAGGTCCGGCTCCAAGGCTTGGGGCAAATTTCCTTTATATTGTCCATGCAAGTAGTTTCTGTCAGGATCTCTTTCAATCAAAGGATTATCTTCTCAGAGGAATGTGAAGTTTTCCGTAAGGCTTTGGGCGCTGGGGTCACGAAGAGTGGCATTCCATATTTAATATAAGGGGTATGGGGAAGGGGGAAACATGCAAGGGAATCATATGAGGGTACATTCATATAAAGAGAAAGAGCCCATCTCCACCTCCCCCACCCACCAAAGTCCATTGGGAATTCATAAAGCCATTTTGAGAGCCCATGGGGCTGGGGAGGGAAACAAATTTTTAAAAAATCCAAAGGTTCATGGGGCTTGAAAAGGTATAGTTTCTGAGAGTCCTCCAGAAGGGAAAAAAGTCCCATAAAAGTTCAAGAGAGTACATAAGTGTAAATGTGTTACCTTCTGCTATATATGAAACATAGAACCTTGGTTAAACGTACACACTATCTGGCATGGGAAGGGTCCCTGTTGTGGTTGTTAGTGTCTTTGCAAATTGACCAAGACTTGACCCCTATTATCCAGCCTGATGTCCTTGTCCTTAGCAAGACTATAAGTTACTATCTCTTACGGGCGGGGGGGGGGGGGGGTCATGCTCGACTTCACAAGTAGCTTCAGTGAGAGGAAACCATGCTGCTACTGATAACTCTGCTATACATTCATGGGGAGGGTCTTTTGTTAATAAGCCCACTTACCCCAACACAAATATAGTGTGGTCCCTGGCACAGTTGAGGGGAGAAATAATTGGCAATCCTTTATATCAGATAGATTGAGGAGCACTGCTTTACATCACAGGATCACACCTTGGTAAAAAAAAAATACTTTGAAGGCACACAGTGCAAATTCAATAAATAACTGCAAAAACTAGCAAACCCTGGCAAAACCCACTAAGGTCTATCCTGAGAATTCACCCTTCTTTAGATCATTCTGGAAGAATCTAAGGTCAGGGATGTGTGCATGCCATCTCCTTTATAGAGAGGCAAGATTTCATGGATGCTGAGGACATCTTGTGGCCTTTCCTATGAACTGCTGCAGGTAGTGCATCCTTTACCCACAATTCCTCCAAATAGGTGGATGAAAGAATGTCATCTTTTCTTTCTGAGAGTTCAGCATAGAGAGTTCATGCACAAAGTTGTGTAGAAACATTGTGCATTACATTACCTGTAGGCTATGTGTGTTAGGTGTATAATAAGTCAAGCTAAAGTTTTCCCCTGACATTAAGTCTAGTAGTGTCTGACTCTGGGGGTTGGTGCTCATCTCCATTTCTAAGCTGAAGAGCCGGTGTTGTCCGTAGACGCCTCCAAGGTCATGTGGCTGGCATGACTGCATGGAACGCTGTTACCTTCCCACAAAAGCGGTACCTATTGATCTACTCACATTTGCATGTTTTCAAACTGCTAGGTTGGTAGAAGTTGGGGCTGACAGCAGGAGCTCACCCCGCTACCCAGATTCAAACCTGGGACCATTCTATCAACAAATTCAGCAGCTCAGCGGTTTACCTCACTGCACTACCAGGGGCTCCTATCTCATTATGTATCTACTAGCCGTCCCCTGCCACGCGTTGCTATGGCCCAGTCTGTTGATCTGGAAAATAAAGTAATGAGAAAGTGTTGGTTCCTAATATATGTAATTTCTTTATGCTTGTGGGTAAACAGTATTTCTTGCTGTTTCTTTGTCAGTGTCGACGTGGAGAGTGTCTGGTTTGCCTACTCTGGTACATGCAACATAAAATTGTCCTTCTTCAGGGGTCCCTTTCAAATCTATGATACTATATCTGTGTGTGTGTGAATCACCTATATCTTTCTATATCTATGCTGTGTCCAGGCATATTATTTGAGAACACAGAAATGCTGGACCACTCTAACAACCACCATGTCAGACTATACAGAGAAGCCATTGAAATCCACAAGCATGTGGACAATTTCAACAGAAAGTTGGAAACTACGAAAATGAACAAAATCTGGCTACCAGTATTAAAAAACTCTAAAATTACAACAGCAAACAACAGAGGGAAAACAATCAGGGACATCTAATCACCTCTCAACAAAAGATTGCCCCAGGCACTGCCAGGCCATCAAATGCTAATCAAGGTGGTCAGTTGAAACATTCACACCTAACTCCAGCAGACAAGAGTTCTTTTTCTCACCCTGGTCATTCCACAGATATATAAACCCTTTTGCCTTGTTCCAACAGACCTCACTACCTCTGAGGATGCTTGCCATAGATGCAGGCGAAACGTCAGGAGAGAATGCCTCTAGAACATGGCCATATAGCCCGAAAAAACCTACAACAACCCAGTGAATCTGGCCATGAAAGCCTTCGACAATACATTATCTAACTTTGTCAGGCAATTTAAAGTGGTTGTGGATAGTGAGATCCAACCCACTGTGGGTTTAGCCAGGTGAGAAAAAGAACCAATATTCCAGAATAAATCTCACCAAGTTGAAGCAGAAGCCACCGAGGTTTTATTTCTATTCCAGCTGGAAAAAGATGACGGTTGCATTAATTTGCTGAAGAAATTGCCATGTTTTTAGGCAGAAAAATACAGAATATATAGTTTTCCATTCATTTCCCCCTGTGCCCACCCCCTGAGCCAGCTTTGCTGTGATTGGCTGTGATGCCAGCAAACCGGGAGGAGTAGCCGGGGACCGAAGCAGCTCGTCCAATCGGAGCAAGAGCCCTGCTTCGACCACTCAGCCAATAATGAGAGAGGAGGCGGGCAACAGTGGAAACAATGAAAAATGTCATGATTATGAGTTATGAATGGCCCTTTCTGCGCCTGTATGATAAGTGACTAAGGCGATAGCTGGAGCCCTCCAGCCTTGATCCTGGCTATTGTCTCTTTCGTTGGAGGCTTTGAAACAGAGGCTGGATGGCCATCTGTTGGGGGTGCTTTGAATGCAATTTTCCTGTTTCTTGGCAGAATGGGGTTGGACTGGATGACTCATGAGGTCTCTTCCAAGGATTCTATGATTCTATAAAAGCATAACAAAATAAACCACTGGGTTAAAAAGAAAGAAAAGACTAAAACAATTATAACAATGTACTTGTATTTTATTTTAAGATGAGTCTCTTCAAAACACAGGATTCTATAATTAAAAGTGTTGGGGAAATAGAGCCAGAATAAAAATGGGAAGGAGAGGAGGAAATAATTCTCTTGCTTTTGGCAAACTAGACACTTTTAAAGGGAAAACAAATGCTCCTCTCCAGTCACTTCCTGTGCCTGCCATTCATTCAGTTTCCTTATCAATACAACAGGATTGCAGATTGCGTATTCTGTGTCTTTGGCCTTTGGAAGGACATTTGTTTTAAAAAGAAACTGCAAAACACAAGGATAATCACACTGAATTCTGACATTTTGGCCGAGCGTAGTTCCAGAAGGAAAAAGGAGCTGTTTGATGCCTTCAAGTTTGGGGATGAAGTCCATTCTTAATCATGGTTTCACCGGAAACACCAGACAGGTTTGCTCCTTGGCGGAAGTCATGCCATCAATCAATGTCATGGGCCGCTCTGTGTAGCTCTGGATGATGCTGGAAACACTATCAAAGAGCTGGCAAAGGGAAGGGAAGGACAGAGGAGGAAAAGAGATCAGTGCCTAATAATAATAATAATAATAATAATAATAATAATAATAATAATAATATCACCACACATCACCACACATCACAAATAATATCACCACACATCACAATTGTGGAAAAGAAAATAGTCTGGATTATCGATGTCTCCATACTGGGTGACAGTCGCATTGAGAAAAAACAACAGGAAAAACTCAGCCGCTATCAAGACCTCAAAATCTGGCATAAACCAGTACAGGTGGTCCCTATGGTCACTGGGTGCCATGCCAAAAGATCTCAGCCGGCATTTGGAAACAATAAACATCGACAAAATCACGATCTGTCAACTGCAAAAGGCCACCTGACTTGGATCTGTGCGCATCGTTCAAAAATACATCATACAGTCTAGACGCTTGGGAAGTGTTCGACTTATGATTTTGTGATACGAAATCCAGCATAGAGATCTCGTTTTCTGTGACATACTGTGCTTTTGTGTCAATAACAACAACAACAACAATACTTCATACTGAGTCCTCGCGGGGACTCAGAGCGGATTACAGTATATAAGCAGACACAGGCAAACATTCAATGCCTTATTACAATGGCATACAATGAGACACAAACACACAGACAAAGGCAAAGTCTTCTCCTTTCATTTCCGGCTTTGGAGCTCATCGCTGGCTCCGGGAGAGGGGCTCCTTCTCCATTTCCAAGGCAAGGAGACTGCATCTGTAGACACTTTTTTGTCGTGTGGCCGGCATGACTACTCGGAACGCCTTTCTGCCCTCTCCCACCAAAGCGATACCTATTGATTTACTCACATTTGCACATTTTCAAACTGCTAAATTGGCAGGAACTAGGAATAACAGTGAGAGCTCATTCCGTCTCGCAGATTTGAACTGCCAACCTTCAGGTCAGCAGTTCAGCAGCACAAGGGTTTAACCCATTGTGCCACCACTGAGGTGGAAAAGACTGAGGGGGGAAAGGAGGCTGAGGCTGTTAGGATTTGTGGAAGCTGAAGTCCAAAACATTGGGAGGGCTGACATTTGCCCTTGCCTGCTATAGGGGGATCTAAATAAAATCTGCAAATAGGGTGAATTAATCAAAGATGTGGGGACATAGCTACAGAGATGTATCTAGGTGCCAGATGTATGTTTCCTGATGTGGGATATTAGCCACTGTCTATATTTTCAAATCTGGATCCCACCAGAAAGGTCTACCTTGCAAACCAGGGTCCTACCTCCTCCTGGCTCCTGCCGTCCTTGCCCAGCGAGTACTGGTGGCTGCTCTCAACATAGCGGATGGGGATGTTGTAGACATGGCTCTTGTAAAGCACAGCCAAAGTGAAGGGCTGGTTGCCACCGTATCGCGAGCTCCGCCTCACCAGGTAGGCGCTATCCTGCCATGAAGGCCCAAAGATTAGGGTTAGAGGAAGTGTCTAGATTGTCTAATTGTTTCTGTCCAATCATCGAATACACACATTCTGGCCTTATCCGCACTGCCATATAATGTCGTTTCAGAATGGCGCTGTAATAATAATAATAATAATTATTATTATTATTATTTATAAATAATAAATATAATAATAATAATAATTCCTGAGGTTTCGCCCACATCTATGGCAGGCATCCTCAGAGGTTGTGAGGTCTGTTGGAACCTAAGCAAGTGACCCCTTGGAAACTAAATCAGTAACTAAACTGTTGGAAACTAAGTAAGTGACCCCTCCAACAGACCCCTCAACCTCGGAGGATGCCTGCCATAGATGTAGGCAAAACAGCCTGGAAAACTCACAGCAACCCAGTGATTCCAACCATGAGAGCCTTCAACAACACAGAGGGGGTTTTATTTTGCAGAGCTAGTCCTGAATAGCCAAACTGATATGTCCTCCAGCTGTCCCAATTTTGCAGAAACAGTCTGAATTATTCCCCTTTTCATTCCATTTTAAAGCTATTTTTGAAATGTCCCAGCTTCTCTTTTCTCTTCCCACCTCTCCCCTTTGCTCTCAGCTTACTGTATATACTCGACTATAAGCCGACCCGAATATAAGCCGAGGCACCTTATTTTATCACAAAAAAACTGGGAAAATGAATTGACTCGAGTATAAGCCAAGGGTGGGAAATGCATCCACTATGGGTCAATTTCAAAATAAAAATAGATACCAATAAAATTGCATTAATGTAGGCATCAATAGGCTAAATGTTTCCCAATATTTACATAAAACTGTAATTTAAGATAAGACTTTCCAACTCTTATTAAACCATTATTCTAACCTCCTTCAATGTAAATGTACTTATTATTAAAATAATAAAAATAATAGAGCAAAATAATGAAAATGCAATAAAAACAGGAATAATAGAGTAAAATAGTAAATGTAGTAATAATAGGGTAAAATACTGTAAATGTAATAATAATAGTAAAAATAAGATTAAAATAATGAATGTAATAATAATAATAATAATAGGGTAAAATACTGTAAATGTAATAATAATAAAAAAATAAGATTAAAATAATGAATGTAATAATAATAATAATAGGGTAAAATACTGTAAATGTAATAATAATAATAAAAATAAGATTAAAATAATGAATTTAATAATAATAATAATAATAATAATAATAATAGGGTAAAATACTGTAAATGTAATAATAATAATAGAGCAAAATAATAAATAGAATAATAATAGAGCAAAATAATGTAAATATAATAATAATAGAGTAAAATAATAAATGTAATAAAATAATACTAATAACAGAGTAAAAGAATAAATAACCTTGACTCGAGTATAAGCCGAGGGGAGCTTTTTCAGCCTAAAAAAGGGGCTGAAAAACTAGGCTTATACTCAAGTATATGCAGTACTTCAACTGCTGCAAACTGAGTTCAAAGTGCAAGAGGAGAGCAGAGGAGAGAAAGAACGGGAATTTTGTCTTTGTCAGTCGGCTCTGCCAAAAGCAAACTGCTGCAGCCTGCCTCTTAGTTTGTGTTTTCTTACGTTTTAATGACTTTTGCCATCCTGACCACACTCTTGACCATATATTGGTGAGATGTAGAAGGACCAGCTGACTCCAAAAGGATTTATAGCTCCCTTTTTTGGTGAGGGGGGAACACACACATCTTTTTGATGTACCCCTTTACCTTGTTATACTGGAGAAGGGCAGCCTCAGCCGTTTGCCGGTCACAGCTGCCTGCATACCAGGCCTTGTTTTGCATGCCACATTCCTGCACGACAAACACAACAGGGGTGATGACGCAATTGTTAAACACAGTTGTCACAGTGGTGTTAGGTCATGTAAAAATCAGTTGGTGAGTGTGTTAACTGAAAATGCAAAGCACAAGGCTGATTGGTTGGGCCATGCCCAAGAAGCTAGCTGAGCCTGGGAGTTTTGGCAGCAGTTACATATTTGGGCTTTAGCTGTGCAGGGGTTTGCAGAGAGAGACAGTTCTTGCTTCATAAGCTGGTGGAAGAGAATCTGCCACATGGATACTGTGCTGTCGCACGCTGGGCCTGTACATAAGACTGTAGACAGGACATAAATTCTGTGTGCCCAACGGGACGCCGGGGCTGCCTCAGATTAAAGGCCTTTGGATTTCCTTAAAACAGAGTCTTTAGATTGCTTAAAGGTTCAACAAAGTTCTTTATTATTGAAATCAAACAGGTACTTTAAGGCTTTCTTAATAGTATATTGGCTCTTTCAATCTTGTCCACAGGGGACAAGCACTATCTTCATAACTGTATTTTAACTAATGGGGAAATCCTTAACCTCTTATCTGGGCAGTCTGTCTTTGCTTCTGTTGGCATGGAGCCCCTGCACCCGGTACCAACTGCTTCTGGCTTCCGCGAGTGACCCTTACCAAGCAAATCTTTGTAGACTTCCAGGGGAAAAGAAGGTGTTCAGGTTTCAGTGATGGCTGGCTGAAGTGCTGTGGGACCGGATTCCCTCAGCAAAGGAGCTGTAAGGCTGTATATCTCCCGGCCAAGCCATGGGGCTGTATATCCCCGGCCACGCTGTAAACGATGAAGCTTTCTACAGGAGCTCCTGGTTTTATGTCCTGTATGAAAGACTTCTCTGTGTGGACTGACCCAAAATGGCTCCTATTCCCTCCAAAACCCAAAAAGGGAGCGGGACCAGGGAACCTAACGATAATTGACAGGTCATAGATCCAATAAATGCAAACTAAGGAAAGCCATCTAATTGCAAAGGCACAGAACCACGTGAACTATGTGTGATTTTCATTCCTCCACAAGTGGCATACTGTTTTTCCACATGAGCAAAGCCAAGAACTCTATTCATCTGCCTATATTTGTATTGAAAACACAACAGAGAGCTACTGTTTCAGAAGTCAATCAATACAGAATTCAAGATGTTATTTTGTTGTTGTTGTTGTTGTTCATATAAACTTCAGCTCCCACATACTTCATCATTAGCCAAGGCAACTGAGGCTTCTGGAAGCTGAAGTCCAACACACATGGAGAACTAGAGTTTGGGAATCACTGATATAAATTGCGATTGTGGGGCTTACACTCAAAAAATGAGTATCTCCAAGTTCAGGCCTTGCTCTAACAGTATAATCTCCATATTTTACCTCTGGAAAGGATCCACTCTTCAGACTACCACCTGAAAAGAGAAAGAACACGTCAGGATTGTAGGGCTGTATTTTGAGTAGGCAAAGGTGACTAAAGAACTATCAGTGCAAAGGTTATAGACATATGTTGATATGATGTATAAAATATGAAATTACAAGAATTGAATTTTAGTCAAAATGTTCAGATTGCCTTATGGCTATCACTTCTTGGTATTATTTATCTTAAATATATTTATCTCTATTTAACAGAAGTTGATGTTACCTCAAGAGGCCATTGGAAGGTTATGGGAAAGAGCCAGCTGTCGGCCCAAGAAACCATTGAAGGGTTGTGGGAAAGAGCCAGCTGTCATCCCAAGAGGCCATTGGAGGGTCACGGGAAAGAGCCTACTGTTACCCCAAGAGGTCATTGAAGGGTTGTGGGAAGAGCTAGTTGTCACCCCAAGAGGCCATTGAAGGGTTGTGGGAAAGAGCCAGCTGTCACCCCAAAAGGCCACTAAAGCAGGCATGGGTAAACTTTGACCCTCCCCCCAGGTGTTTTGGACTTCAACTCACACAATTCCTAACGGCCGTTGGGGAGAGCCAAAGTTTGTCCATGCCTGCACTAGAGGTTTGCCATAGAGATTGAGTTCCGTCAGCTACCTGAGGGACAGAGAAACTACTGCTTTGTGCTTCAATATAGTAATAGAACTATGCCTCCTAACTAACTGGGTTCACAAGCTAGTATAGTGTGTATATGTGTATACATATATGAAGTTGATACAGGGATTGGGGAAAAGCTATGAGGCAAGATAATTAAGGGTTTATTTTAATACTGTTTAATTAATTTTATTCTACTCTATGTTTTTTTATTTTTGGGGTGGATTTTTTAAATTTATTAAAATTTAAGTAAGAGCAATAAATTGTGGACTCATCCCTGTCCTCAAAGTCAGCACATAATCATGCAAGGTAACTTGAGATGCCCTCAGGAAAACTTACCATCCGATGAGTTCTCTGTCAATACCTAGACAAAAAGGGAATATAGATAATGTCAGACTATGGATCTTGCTCTTCCCTGTAGGCTTAGGAAAAAGCAAACTGCTACGACTTCTCTCTGATTATTTATTAATAATACATTATCAATTATGATAATTAATCAGTTTCATTAAGGAAAAATAAAAGTCATTCATAAGTTTTGCCATGTTAACCACATTCTGTTGTTAACGTGACTATGTGCCCCAGTTTTCAGTCAGTTAAATGTGTGTCACATTCAGTATATCACAGACTTGACACGCACCTGCTGGAGTCCAGGTGAGGAGATCTTTGACCTAATATTAAAGGAAAAAAATCAGAATTGGAATCAGGTATCAGCCTTGTAATTTATAGCAGTGTTGTAGTACAGCTTGAATCTGAGGCTGATGGGTTCACTGATGGTTTAGAGCAGTAGTTCCTAACCTTTGGGCCACCAGGTGTTTTGCATTTCAACTCCCAGAAATCACAGCCAGCTTACCAGCTGTTAGGAATTGTTTGAGCTGAAGTCTAAAACACCTGGAGGCCCAAAGTCTGGGAACCACTGGCTTAGAGAGAATTGTGGGATTTCCTGTGAGATTTCCTGGGGCACAAAGTGATGAAAATTCAAGTAAGAGAAATGATGGTTGTTGCAACCCAGAGCAGGAAACTGGACCCTCAGACAACAATTCACCACATTTGGCTTCAGGAAAACAATCCTTTTTTATTGATGAAAGATGAATACAAAATAGAGGAAAAAATGCAAAAGTAAAAAGCCACCATGAAAATCAGCAACAAGAAATGTCCATAAACAAGACCATGAAACCCACAGCAAACTGCTGAATCCTGGAACCTGTTAGCAAATCCACTAACCATACTTGAGGCAACTAGAAAATCTCCGAGGAACAAAGCCACAGGAATCCGGAGACCTGCAAACGCTGGCACATGAAACTGGAACGATGCCTGATCTGAAGCTGTATTCACAGCAGTCATATTTAAGGCCAAGAAATCTATTGCGAGAGATGCCTGAAGATTTTGTTCGGATTTCTTTCAATCTGGCTGACCTGCGTAAACATTGAGCTTCTCCCCGACTCTGCCAAATCTGCCCCCGCCTATCCCCATTAGGCAGACCAGGTGTCTGATTCTCTGGAGAGCTAAAACTGGGAGGAAAAGGGAGTGAACCGCTCCGCTTGGCTCGGAATTTAAGTTCTCAGGGCAATCTTGACTTTCACTTTCCAAGGCTGTAGGATTTTCACTACTCAAACCATCCTCATCTAAATTGGCCTCAGAATTCACATGGGCATCAGGAAATACAATGAGAGAGTCAGGTTCAAGTTCACACACAGGCTGAACCCCAACAATGGTTTTCTCTGGGGAAAACCTGACTCAGAAAGTACAAGGTTCCAAGGTCAGGCAGATGAGCCAGAAACTGCAACATTAGATAAGAAGTCGGACAAAGAATTAAGTGGTACAGAGGGCTGCCAGGGACGAACACCAGGAGCTATGAGGATCAGTAAAAGCTTTTGTTTATAGCAGTGGTTCTCAACCTGTGGGTCCCCAGATGTTTTGGCCTTCAATTCCCAGAAATCCTAACAGCTGGTAAACTGGCCGGGATTTCTGGGAGTTGTAGCCCAAAACACCTAGGGACCCACAGATTGAGAACCACTGGTTTATAGATTAGAGCAGAAAATAGACACCTCCGGTCAGAGCATCAACATGGGAAAGTTGAAGAGAGAATTCGTAGGAAACAAAATGACTTCATGGCTGCTTATTAATTAGCAAGTTGTTTTTCCTGAGTTTTAGTTCAGGCAAAGTAGCGTTCAAAGGAGAAACTAGGCCTGAGTTCTCTTGTTCTTGTTGCAAGTGAAGCCTTGGTTTTGCATTCAAGTATCTTGAAAGCTTTCTATGCTGTTGTTTTGTGTTCTTCCTCAAGTTTTACTAAATATGCCTTTGCTTGTGGACTTACACTATGCTTGTGACTTTCTGACTATTCCTGGATTATATTACCTTGGGATTCTCATGAGACATTTGGATTACTGCCTGGTTATCACCTATTGCTGACCCTTTCCTGGATTATATATATTCTATCCTTATTCCTGATTTTCATATATTTTTATGTGCTTGCTTCTACTCTGGACTGTTGTGTGGTGCTGTGGTCATAGGGGTTTCTAGGCCTGGGGTGCAACAGGCACACAAAGCTGAGACATGAGATCTATTGCCAAATTCATGCAATTCTGGAAATGGAGCAGAGGGTATATACGTACCTTCCTTGCTTCAAAAGGTGAGGTATAGGAAGATTTCTACCAGGCGATGAGGCTGGAAGGAAACAACATGGATCAGGCCCAAGAAAAAGTTGCTGTTCATGTTTGATTCCATTTTAATGTTTGTTTGTTTTGGGGTTCCAATTGTATTGAATTGATTTTGTTGTGAGCCACTTTGAGTCTCTTTTTGGAGAGAAAAAGTGGGATAACAACAACAACAACAGCTTTACAAAGAATTTAGCCTTCTCTGTCAAATAGTATTGTTGCCTCAACAAACTAAAACTCCCAGTATTCCACAGCATTGAGACATGACAGCTAAAGTTATGTCAAAATGCATTATTTCTCCAATGCAGATGCACCCTTACTTACGTAGGCGATCCCACTTGGACGATGATGGCCCTCCAAGTGCAGCATCTTAGTGGTGGATACGTAGGTGGCTGTGGAGACCTATTCTTGATCTGGATGTTCTCCTGCATTGAAGACATCGGTTTCCAAGTGAAAGGCAGTTCCAGTCAAAGTTGGCTTGATGCACCTTCCTCTTGGTAAGTTTCTCCCTTTCGCTTTCCATTCGAGCCTCTTCAAATTCCGCAGCACTGCTGGTAACAGCTGACGTCTAGCTGGAGTGCTCAAGAGCCAGGACTTCTCAGTTCTCTCTGTGTGTCTATGCTACAGTTTTTAAAGTTAGTTTTAAGCCCATTTTTAAATCTGTTTTGCTGTCCACCAACATTACATTTTCCGTTCTTGAGTTGGGAGTATATATTAAGTGCTTTGGGACACAGTGATTGGGCATTCAGACAATGTGGCAGCGGAGTTGATGGTGCAGGAGCATCACTTCAGTGCTGGTGGTCTTTGCTTCTTCCAGCATGCTGACATTTGTCTGCCTGTCTTCCCAAGAGATTTGCAGGATTTTCGGAGGCACCATTGATGGAATCATTCCAAGAATTTATTTATTTATTTATTTATTTGCCGTATTTATTTATTTATTTTATTTATTTATTTATTATTTGCCGTATTTGCCTTTCTCAGCCTGAAGGTGACTCAAGTGTGCCAAGTTTGGTCCAGTTGAGTGTGATGTCTGTAGGCAGTCCACGTTTTGCAGGCGTATAACAGGGTTGGAAGGACAATAGTTTTATAAACAAGCACCTTGGTCTCCCTACGGATGTCCTCAGAGTGATTCCTTTGGAAAAATGCTGCACTCACAGAGCTCATGCGGTGTTATATTTCAGTGTTAATGTTGACTTTTGTGGAGAGGTGGCTGCCAAGGAAGCGGAAATGGTCAACATTTTCTAACATTACACCACTACGCTGTATTTCTGGTATTGCAGAGGGATTGGCTGGTGCCTTTTGCTGGAAGAGTACTTTGGTTTTCTATATGTTCAAGGAGAGGTCAAGCTTCCCGTATGCTTCTGCAAAGGTGTTTAGAGTAGCTTGTAGGTCTTCTTCTGAATGTGCATAGACTACATTAGCAAACCGTTTAGCCATCTCTGTCAAATTATATTGGTGCCTAACAAACTAAAACTTCCAGGATTCCATAGCACTGAGCCATGACAGCTAAAGTTATGTCAAATTGCATTAATTCTGCACTGCAGATGCACCCACAGATACTCCAAAATAATAATACACTTTATTTATATTCTGCTTTATCTCCCCAGAGGGACTCAGGGCCGATTACAGTATACACATATAAGGCAAACATTCAGTGTCTTTTACACAGTGAACAATGACATACAATACACAGTCAAAGGTAAAAGTCTTGCCCTTTTCATTTCCGACGTTGGGAGGCAATGCTCAACTCCGGCCATGGGGAGGTGCTGTTGTTCCTTTTTTTCCAGGCCGAGGAGCCCGTTGTTCATAGACATCTCCAATCGTGTTTACTGGCATGTCTGCATGGGGTGCCCTTTTACCTTCCCACTGAGGTGACAACTATTGATGTACTCACATTGCATGCTTTTAAACTGCTAGGTTGGCAGAAGCTAGGGCTAACAGCCGGAACTCACTCCAGCTCATGGCTTCAAACTGCCAACCCTCGGATCAGCAGATTTCCTGCAGTTAGCAGTTTAACCCGCTGCACTACTGTGGTCCCTAATCCCAAATATTTCTGATCCGAAGTGTTTTGAATAAGGGAAATTCCACTTCAGTCTAATCCTCATCTTTTTAACTGACCAGATGAGGCCTTCTGTTTGCCAAATGTGATGTCCTATCACCCAAATATGCCCTTTCCTTACAATGACAAGAGGTGAGACTGAATGGATGTCTTACCTGTGTCGGGCTCACATTCCAGATAAATGGATTCTTCATGAGACTCCTGATGGCAGAAGGAGAGATGCATTGGATCAGAGAGAAGCTGATCGTGAAGCATGGCTATTTTATGCCTGGTATTTTTGCTGGAGCACAATGCAAAGCATTAGATTTCACCTTTAAAAGAGGAATTCTGCTGATCCCGCTCCTCCAAAGACCTCACTGGCAAATAGGACCACTACATGAGTCCAGAAAACTGCTACAAGCCCATCAAAAATAGTAGTATTTTTCTTTCTTATCTTTGATAAGCATTGTGTTAACAAAGTGCAATAACCTCTGAAATGGTAAATGCTCTGGATGTATAATGTCTCCAGCTGATACGATCTGAATTACCTTGTCTTCCTTCAAGGGCAGGAAAGGATCTGCAAAGAGATAACCAAGCTTGACACAATTCAACAAACAAGCACAAGTTTACCTATTTTAGAAAGCAACTGAATGCTATTGGGGAATGAGAAGAGAAATGCTTGGAGGGTCACGAAATATAGCAGAGATGGGGAATATTGGGGTTAGAGCAGGCATGGGCAAACTTGGGCCCTCCAGGTGTTTTGGACTTCAACTCCCACATTTCCTAACCGTCTCAAGCCCCTTCCCTTTCCCCCTCAGCTGTTTACGCTTAAACTTCATCAGTACTTAAAGTTGGTTATGTTGGGCAAGTTTGCTCTGGATGCATCATTGGTGGGGTTCTTGTGCTCTCTGGCTGTAGGGTAAACTATAACTCCCACTATGGTGACTTGGTCCCCTCAAACCTCTCCAGTAGGCTGAATTAGTCGTGGGGGTTTTGTGTGCCAAGTTTGGTCCAGGTCCATCATTGGTTGTGGGTGAATTATTTATTTATTTATTTATTTATTATTTGCACTTATTGACCGCCACTCTCAGCCCGAAGGCGACTCGTGGCGGTGTACAAAACATAGAACATACAGACGACAGTTACAGTAATCAGGTCCATAACACAACATCTTACTAACATACAACTACTTAACTAAAAATCCGCTTCGTCTTGTTTGGGTCATAATCGGTCTCATAGTCATAATCCATTCCGGTGGTCATTCCAAAACATAGCACTTAATTGAAGGCCTTTTCAAAGAGCCAAGTTTTCAGGCCCTTGCGGAAGGCCATGAGGGAAGGCGCCTGTCTAATTTCGGCAGGGAGGGCGTTCCATAGCCGGGGGGCCACCACCGAGAAGGCCCGCTCTCTAGTCCCCGCCAAGCGTGCCTGTGAGGCAGGCGGGACCGAGAGAAGGGCCTCTCCGGATGATCTTACAACTTCCAGAAAGAAAGGTCAGTTTCCCCAAGTGTGGTTTAGGTCCATTGTTGGTAGAGTTCAGAGTGCTCTTAAATTACAGGTGAACTATACATCCCAGTACCTACAGCTCCTATAAATCATGGTGAATTCTCCCCAAACCTCTCTAGTATGTTCTGTTGCTGATCGATTCCTCTGTTTGCTGTGTGCCATAGAAAAAAATAGGAAAGGGTTAAGGGAGGGGCAGTGGGCAGGGTTATGCAAATACCACACCAATTGAGAGAGTAAGAAACACTGGGATGTCTGTGGTGGAGGAAAAATAGAAAATCTAGAATGAAATTGTCCCTATATGAAAGTCTTCACTTGGGTGGTGAGCAGTATGTTGTTTGTGGAGGACGTTGGCAGGGCTCTTGGACATGTTAATGGTGCTCACTATAACCTGCAATGACATTGGAGGGAGGGTCATTGGTGTTTCCTACGTGTTGGGAGCTATAGCTATTTGTGGAAGTGGGAACTTGTCTGTGTAAGTGGAGACCCCAGTCACACACATATATGCATATTTTCACTTTTATTATGTGTATAGATTATTATTATTATTATTTCATCCTTCAGTCCCACAACCCAACTCTTGCCCAGATTTCAGGAGACACAATTCTACATACCTTTGTTTGTAGCATCCTTTATTTCGAATCCAGGGGAAGGTAACACTGGAAGGGACACTCGGCGAGCTGAGAGAGGCAGCCCCATGGCATTTTTCATTATCCCTTTCTGCAGAGCTGGAAAGAAAAGAAATGTCAACTAATTTACCATTTATTGACCCATGTAGAACCAGGGAAGCCAGGCTGTGGAGGGGAGAAAACAATGCTGGCCAAAAGGACTAGAGAAAAAAAGAACAAGGCTACAACATAATATTGCAATTTTAAGTGAAGTCTCACTTATTGTGCCAGAGTCTTGGATCTGTTATGGGCGCGAAATTCATACATAGAAAAGTGTTTCTCAACCTGGGGTTGGGACCCCTTGGGCGGGGGTTTAGGAGGGGTCACCAAAGACCTTCCTAATGCTGTGACCCCTTAATACAGTTCTTCATGTTGTGGTGACCCCTGAACATAAAACTGGAATACTGGTGTGGTGGTGGGGGGGGGGGAGGTTGATTTTGTCATGGGAGTTGTAGTTGCTGGGATTTAAAGTTCATCTACAATCCAGGACAATTCTGAACTTACCAACAATGGAATTCAACCAAACTTGGCACTTGTATAGGAAGGATAATAATATTGAGGATAGTTTTTACAGTGTGGTGAGTGAATTAGAACCAGACATCCTGAGGAGTGAGGTTGAATGGGCCTTAAGAAGCATTGCTAACAAGGTAACAGGAGACGACGGGATCCCAGCGGAACTGTTTAAAATCTTGAAAGATGATGCTGTCAAGGTGATGTATGCCATATGCCAGCAAATATGGAAAACACAAGAATGGCCAACAGACGGGAAAAATCAACATATCCCCATACCAAAAAGGGGAAGGCTAAAGACTGCTCAAACTGTTGTACAGTGGCCATTATTTCTCATGCTAGTAAGGTAATGCTCAAGATCCTGCAAGGAAGACTCCAGCAAGACATGGAGAGAGAGTTGCCAGATGTACAAGCTGGGTTTAGAAAAGGCAGAGGAATGAGAAACAAAATTGCCAATATCCAGATGCTGGATAATGGAGAAAGACAGGGAGTTCCAGAAAAACATCTATTTCTGTTTTATTGACTATTCTAAAGCCTTTGACTGTGTGGATCATAATAAATTGTGGCAAGTTCTTGGTGGTATGGGCATACCAAATCACCTTGTCTCTCTCCTGAGGAATCTGTACAAGGACCAAGTAGCAACAGTCAGCATTCATCATGGAACAACAGACTGGTTCGAGATTGGGAAAGGCGCACGGCAGGCTTGTCTACTCTCACCCAAC